GTAATTTTATAATTATATTAAATATTAGATGTTTTTCGTAAAAATCACAGTAAAAAAACTCTAAAATGAGGTTTTTGGCTTTATATGTAAAATTATTGTAGATCTATGGTGAATTTTTACAAATTTTTGCAGATTTTTAAACAAAATAATCTAAAAAAAAATTATCAAATACATAAATATCTAAAAATATTGTACGATTATACAAATAAGTTTTCAACCACGATACTAAACACACCATTTATGATTGTAGTAGATAACTTCTAAAAAGAATCAAGAATTTTCGACATTAAAGATTTAAATTATTAAGAATTTTTTATAGTAAATTACAATAAACTGACAAATAAAATATAAATTGATAAATAAGATATAATATAAATCTTATATATCATGTAATTAGTTGATGTTAGACATCCTAACATCAATATTCTTATCTTTATATTTTCACTTTCCTAGTATATAAAGTCTTTTCTTTGATCATGTGCACAGAAAAGATCTATTAGTGCTACTTTTGAACTTCTTTTATATACAAAAAATTTGAATTGTTGCCTTGGAATAAGGGAATGCACTTTTATTTAACCTAACCCTACTAGTCTGAAGGCCCAAATGCAAATTTAATGTTTAATTTATTTTGTCATATTTTTCTAAAAGACATAGACCAGTCCAATTTACTTTTTAATTTTTATTTTATAAAAGAAGCTTTCAACACACACATATATACATTTTTTAATGGATTACAATTTTAAGGAAAAAAAGTTCAAACTTCAGTTCTAAAATTAGAATGCACCTTTTAATAAAGTATATAATCATTGAATTACAAAATTCAGATGCCACCATATATGTTTCTTAGAATTTATTTCTTTACAAAATGTACAGTGATTCTGTTGGTGCAACATCTCTCTTCCACAAAACTCGAGCATGATTATCAGGACGCTGAAAAAAAAAAGTCACAAATTCTCTTAATTTTGTCTTCAAAATACTATAATTTCAAGGGAATATGAGTGCCTTTAACAGTTTCTTGTATAGAAATAACCACGCACATAAAACTCACATGGCTCTCCCTCTCTGCTACACTGTTCATTCAGGCCATTTCCACTTCACAAAAACCAGCTTTTGGATTTTAATAAACCCCAATTTACCAGACAATAATCATAAACTGCAAATAATAATAATAATAATAATAATAATAATAATAATAAATTAATTATTATTATTCTGCAATAAAAAAATACTAAAATATGAAATCTGAATTAAATTAATCAAATTACACGATTAGCTGACATGGAAAGTTGGTCCAATCATGTTGACATCCATCTCGAGTAGCAGGTGGATTGATTCTCTTCTTTCTGACCATGGATTTCAAAAACCTAGTAGCAATTTTCCAACCAAACATGCAGAGAGGGAGAGACGTGTAGTGACAGAAAATTATGATGCAAAAATGGTCTGTTAATCTTTGCTGTCTGTACTTGAATCATAAACAGAGTAAGTCTGAATCCTGACGGAAGCTTTATGGGTTCAACCTAATGTGGTTGTAAGAAATTTCCACATGAATTCATCCCACAATTTGGTTTCTCAAATTGGGAAGTTTTTGGTACAAGGAGGAAACAGTGTGATCAAAACACGCCCAACTTGGCATCAAGTTGATATAACAACAAACAACAGCTTGATAAAGGTGTATATAGCCTAGGTTCAATGTGAGGACAATATTGAAGAAAAATGCTACTGTGCAATCCCATAAGGACAATCCTAGAGCAAAATGTTACAGCATGAGCCTTTTTCTATGATGTATGTAAATTGTAAATGAAAGCAGCAAACTTATCTTTCAAGTGTCAACCATGCTTTCTATACATAGAGATTATGCAACTTTGAGTTCGATTATCACCATCTAATATACACAGAATAGAAGGTAGGTAGGATATACATTGGCTGCACAAGATGTTAGTATTATGGGCTAATGGCCACTAGACAAAGAGAAAGATTAAATTGACAAATACTTCTTTCTTTCTCTTTTTCGCACAGCAAGTTGATGGTTTAAAAAGCACTGGTAAATCAGACTTGCCTGACTTCTTTGAAGATGTCAGCTCACGATCTTGTTCCTTGATGAAAAATGGCAGCAGAATGCAGAGAGGAATTTCAAGACAACCCAGTTATACTTAGTCATGTGGAAAAATGGTGTATGTGTTTGCATTGAATGCACAGTACCTACCTGCACACGGTAGTCAAAATGCAACAAAGTAGATATAATTTAGTTATTCCTAGTCATGTGGTTTTAAGACCTTCTCTTCTGTATTCACTTTGTGCTGAAAATGAATTAGCAAATACCTTTATCAGCCTGTGGAGCTGTGCAGTATGTACTGAGCACAGATTGAGGTATTCTTTTGTCTGTTACTAAAAAATACCTTTATCAACCTCAAAATTCCAGTTTATCAGGTTGCCTCTTCCTTTTGATGATCAGACAATCCACATTCAAGTTTGATGGCTGCCATAAGATCAGGGGACACAGCAGGCTGATTCCTTATCTCTCTTCCAGTTGATGTTTTCCCTGCATCTCTTGCATTCCCTTTATCAGCCTCACCAAAGACATCATCTGCACCCCAACCTCTATACAGTATGACTTTGCTAGGTTCCTGAGAAACGAAAATTGCACCTGTTGCTTCCTGTGAAATTATTAAAGAAAAAGCACAATTTAAGTCCTTATTGAGATTGCTTGCCTCAGACTGGGAGAGGGAAAAGGGGGGAGGGGGGGGGGGTGTCTAAGAACACGGACCTGTAGCTTTAGAACTACCTCTTGAACTGAAGTCCCTTTTGCTCTACCTTTGACATTCACAATAGCTAGAGGATGCTTCTTGAAGTGTTCCTTGATTGCTTTTGCTACACCAGTCACAATGTTGCTTCTTCCTAACAAGTGCACCAACAGAAAAAGCATCCCAAATGAGTTCCCAAGTTTGCCATGAAAATGAATGAGTAAATGACAGGAAGGATGGGAGAACTGGAGGAGGGTTTGGAGCTATGATGCAAACTAAAATATATAATAGGAAGTAAATGCATAAATTAATCAGCAAAATGTATCTAGCATCAGACATATTTTGGAATGTTATTTAACATGGAGAAACTGGAAAGAAAACTATTGTTAATAAAATTATATTTTCTTTCCCAAAATAAGAATGTCCAGGAGTAAATGCAATACATTATGCAGAGAAAAGAAAGCACTGCCAACAAATAGAAAGTTAGAGATATAAGAAAAATGGAGTTCTTAATGGCTACTGCCATTTCAAATTAAGCGTTAAGCAAGCAATGATTACAACCAAAACAAAAGACATAGAACTCACCAACTGCAAGGATGGGACGTTTCCTCATCTTGAGAGCTTGCTTTCGTAAGAGAAGTCTGTCTTTGTTAGAAAGACTTATTGCTCCAGGAGCTATCATGTTTAACACATTATCAACTCCCGGTGAAATTGAAACGTCCAATTTGTTTTTAGTTATTTCAGATGAGGACTCAACAGGATCCTTATCAGAGACACAGTGGTCAGCTTTAACAGCAGTAGAAAAGTGCATTCCTTCTATCTGAAATCAATATGGGAAACCAGGATAAAAAATATCAAGACTAGAAGAAGATGAAAAAGGACAAAGAAGGAACTGCAGATATTACCATATTATCAACTCCTGGCGAAATTGAAATATCCATTTTGCTTTTAGTTAATTCAGATGAAGATTCAATGGGATCCTTGTCAGAGACACAGTGCTCAGCATTAACACTAGTAGAAAAGTGCATTCCTTCTTGCTGAAATCAAAATGCAAAACCAGGATCAGAAATATCAAGAATATAAGAAGATGAAAAAGGACACAGAAGGAACTGTAAGCATAAGGGGGTGTTTGGTTCCAAGAAAGTTGGAAAATTTTTTACAGGAAAGAGGTTGGAAAGTTAGGTTTAAATTTTGATTTTGGCAGGAAAATTTAAGACAACGAAAAAATTCTAGATATCTCCCACAATCACATAATTATGTTTTAAATAAGAAATATGGGTCTCATTAAAACCTTGTTCTCAAAGCTTTCTATTATACATATTATACACAATATTTTGTTGTGTGATTAGAAAGATATGTGGTTTAGAAGTTTTATATCCTCCATTTTTAAAATGTTCAAAATGTACTAATGCACTGGTGCTTGATGCAAGGATAAGGAAGGGTTTTAGGATTG